TGGGCCAAAATGGAAGAAACCAGCAGGATGAAGCCCAAGAGGGACCAATGCATAGGAAACCTCAAAGGAAGGTGAGAGAGATCAGAAAAGGGCTCCTCTTTCCTGCTCTTTTTGGAGGTTGCAAGGCTTCCCCCCAGCATCCACCCTGAAGGGCCACATCACAGCCCCTTCAGGACAAAAGAAGGAAAATATTTCTCCTGATTCTACCAAGCAGATGAAACATTAGCATTAAGAACAAGGATTTAATCTGTTCCCCTTTTAAATTGAGCTCAGAGAAAAAGGATCTTTGTGGGTTAAGACAACATGAACTCAATGCAGTTCATTTAGAGCCTTTTTTCTTTCTCCCAAACTCCCCCCCCCCACTGCAATGAGATCGCTCTGTGTTAAGAGCACATGACAAACCTCAACAAAGGTTTGAAAGCTCCGTTTTTCCAACTGCACGTGTGGGATAGGGATGCTCAGAGACCTCGGACGGACCACAGAGAGACCTTCTAAAAGAATAACTTACCCCAAAGTTCCTTCCCGGATTCACCCGGAGCCCCCTCGGGGAGAAACCTTGCCCGGGAGAGGAGCGGGCAGATCCAGCCGAGGGACGGAGCCCCTTTCGTCCCCCTGGAGGGAAGGGCGGGATCCGCTCCCTTCAAGCAACGCCAGAGCCCGGATCTCCCCGAGGAAAACCCTGCGAGCCGAAGATCGGGATCCGCAGCTCCCTTCCTCCTGGCGGGGGGCGGGGGGGAGATCTCCTGGCTGGAGGGGCGGCCTGGAGGGCGAAGGGAGAGCAGCCCCACCTGCCCCCAGCGGGATCCAGGAGCCTCTCCCGAAGGATCCAGCGCAGATCCTCCGAGGAAGAAGCGGAAATCACGGTGGGAAGCGGAAATCCAGCCAGTAAGGCGGGTGGGGGGTGGGGGACAGAGCCGGGGGCGGGGCTTCTGCTCTCCTTAATGGCTCCGCCCTTCGCCCTGTGGCCCCTCCCCCTATTGCAGACTCAGCCCCTCCCCTTCCCAGCTGGGGCTCCTCCCCTCCTCCTCCTGTGCAGTCCGGGGTGCCTCTGCCCATGCGAAGAGCGCCCTTCGGTTCCCCGCCGGGGCTCCAGCGTCCCTGAGGGCAACGGAAGGCCCGAGAGTGGCGGAGGGAAGGGCGGGGATGGCGGCGCCTGCCGAGGCTGGAGAAGAGGGGGATGCGGAGGAGCCCCAGGAAGAGCCGCTCCCGGACTCTCCGGGCTCCCTTCCGCGGCTTGAGGCGGGATCGGGGAAGAGAAAAGAGGCCTCCGTGCAGCCGCGGTTGGGGGAGCGCCAGGGGGTAGGATCGGGAAGGAGCCTCCGGCGGATCCCTTCTGCTGGATCCAAAGATCCTCAGAGTGGATCTAGGCAGCTGCTCTCCCCCCCATCCCCTCTGCCTTTCTCGTCCTATGGATCCCTGCAGGCGTTTCGTGGGGGGGGGGATCCCTGCCAGCATCGCCTCCTCCACACCCGGGGCCGGATGGTCGCCCAAGTGCAGTTCCTCCGCCTCTTCCCTCGCTTCCCCCCAACCCATCATCCCCTCCTCTGGGGGCCGCGAGAGACGCAGCCAATTCTGGCAATCTGCCCACATCGGGTTCCCGATCCCTTTTGGATCCTCCCGATGGGGGGAAATCATCATCATCATCTTCTTCTTCCTGTGAGCTGAAGCTGAAAAAAAGGGACCTGGAGAAGCTCCGTCATAGGAACCTTCCCGGCTGCTGGTTAACCTTTTCCTAGCTCTGTCGGATCCCTTCAGCTTCCCTCCACGGGATCCCCAGGAAGGATACGGAGCCTGAGCAGGTGGCTCTGCAATAGGAAAAGGCTTTAGAGATCCTCTCCCCTCCCCACCCTCCCTTGGAGATCTCACATTGAAGCAACCATCACTTCCAAATTCTTCGTCTTCTGTCCCTCTGTCCTTCCTCTCTCCTCCCCCCAACTCAGCCCAGAATTTCTCCTTCTGGCTCCACTCTCAGAATAAGCCTCTGCACAAAGGATCCCTTCCCTTTTCGGCTACGGAACAAGTAACAACTGCAAAAATCAACTTACATTCTATTTAGTGACAGTTCAAAGTTACAGGGGCAATCGAGAAAGTGATTTATGACCGTTTTTCACACTTAGGACATAGTTTGCATCAC